GGCGTTGGTCTGGGCTGCTGGCAGCGGTCTGTTTGCCGCTGGCAGTCTTGGTCGCCGGATCAGCCCGGTGGCCTGGCTGAGGTGTTCCGGGTCAGCGATGTGGGGTGTGTCGGGTCGGCGGCCTGGGCTGCCGGCGACGGTCCCGGCTACCCAACTCTCGGCCCGCCCCCGGGCGACCCCGGGCGCAAATTAATGCATCTGCCCCTGGGAAATTAGTCATCATCGACCAGAGCGGCCCGTGCGCTTCCGATGATCTCTGGCTCCGCTCGGGCGGAAGAGATACCCTGAAAATCTGGCACACCCCGCACAGCGACACTATGTATAAATGCATCGCACCATGTGTGTATGAAGTGTTCAAACGGCGACAGTGCAGCGGTTTTGGTTCGTGTGTTGTGTAGGGAAAATATAGGTAAAAATAAATGATTCAGAGGCATACGCTTGTTTGTTCGTGTATAGAGAGAACTCCTTTGTTGAACCATATGGACGCAAGATATTTTTGAGTTCCAGCACTGGTCAGCCATCTAAAAAAGTACCAAGTTAGATTACGTTGCAATCGTCTGTCGACTGAAGTTGACGCGTTGACGTTACGCTACCCAGTTTAAACATAAAATCAGAAACGCATAATACATTTGTCACCAGCTTAAACGTACTCCACTTTGTTATAAAATGAAGATGTACTGTTTCTGATGAAGATTATGCTGTCTGGTATGGTTATGCGGCGCACATCTTATTACCTCGTGTGTTATCTCTCACTATGATGAGAATAGCGCTGGCCGGCCCTGGCTCCGCTGCTGACAATGGCTCACTGATCTAGCGTTGCTTAATTGCTTGGCGTGGTAAGCGAGTGCATTGCGTTTCCTGCAGCCATGTTTCACTTTTGTCGGTATTTATCATATCTGCAACTGGTGTGACATCTGCTGTTGATGAAATACCCTGCCATGGAGTGTTCCGGGATGCTGCCTGACATTTTGCTCAGTAGCGTTGACCTTTGAACCACAGCAAAACCTGTCGCAACTTTTTAAAAAAGCTGGGTCGAAGTCGGACAGCAAAACATATTTTTTCAACAGACTGGCGTAATCCGGCGGCTTGACTGGGGTCAAGGTTATCGCAGGAGAGGGGGGGGGGGAGTTTGGCCGCCGCCGGGATCGGTGCAGCCTTTAGTCCGGTCTCCGGGATCGGTGTAGCCTTTAGTCCGGTCTCCGGGATCGGTGCAGCCTTTAGTCCGGTCTCTCAACTGACTCCGCGGAGCTACGGCCAATGGGAGAGAGGCTCGCTGTGACGTCAGACTAGGCAGTACTGTAGCTTGTCAGGGCGATCTCGAAAAAATGATTTACGGTCTTCCGAGAAAATACTCCAGCTATCTGGTTTGGATCGTACACCTCAACAATCGCGTCTGTCTCTGTTGTTGTTGGCGTGGAAAATGAATTGTGATAGAGCCGAAGATTATCCCCAAGTGCGGATTGACGCACGCTTTCATGCTGACAGTAGCATTGCTAGTGCTGACTGGTCACTCGAACGATTTGGAAATGTCATTCATGACTTGATCTGTGGTAGCCTGTGTTTCTCTATTGTTTCAAGGTAGGCCGGAGTGCATTAGTCCTGTTCACGCGATATGCTAGAGTTACCGCCGTGACCGCATGACCAGGCCTCGGCAGTCCTGGAGAAGGCTCCTCATTTCTGTTTGTATGCCACCATCAAGTTATGAACAGCAATCTGTTTTCTACGAAATTCCGGCTGAATTCCTACGTTTAAAAGACGCACCTTCGATACATTTATGGGTACTGGTTGGAACAATATGTCAAGCAAACAGTGAAATTCACTATGAAAATACGTCACGCTTCTGTCTCGGGCCTTGGGGAAGGGCGAATGCGAGTGCCCGTAGCGAAACAATGTTTATCGAGTATTATGTTGCGAGGGCTTGAGTAATCGCTCCGCCTGATATCACTGATTTTTTAGTAAGCAAATTTCGAAAAGTATGCGCGGTGCTGGTCGTGAGGACTTTTTACTTAGCCGTATGCGATTGGAGCTGCCTTTAGGAGAGTACTGTACATGGGATCGCAGCCATGTGGGACTGGAGCAGCCTTTAGTACAGTACCGTGCATCGGGTGGCAGACATGTTTGCTCGGAGCAGCCTGTCACAGTGCCGTGCATCGCATGGCAGCCATGTTTGATCGGAGCAGCCTAGCACAGAGCCGTGCATCGGGTGAGAGCCATGTTTGAGCAGAGCAGCCTAGCACAGAGCTGTGCATCGCGTGGCAGCCAGTTTGATCGGAGCACAGTACCGTGCATCATGTGGCAGCCATGTTTGATCGGAGCAGCCTAGCACAGTACCGCGCATCGCGTGGCAGCCAGTTTGATCGGAGCACAGTACCGTGCATCATGTGGCAGCCATGTTTGATCGGAGCAGCCTAGCACAGTACCGTACATCGCGTGGCAGCCATGTTTGATCGGAGCACAGTACCGTGCATCACGTGGCAGCCATGTTTGATCGGAGCAGCCTAGCACAGTACCGTACATCGCGTGGCAGCCAGTCTGATCGGGGCACAGCACCGTGCATCATGTGGCAGCCATGTTTGATCGAAGCAGCCTAGCACAGTACCGTTCATTGCGTGGCAGCCAGTCTGATCGGGGCACAGCACCGTGCATCATGTGGCAGCCATGTTTGATCGGATCAGCCTAGCACAGTACCATGCATCGCGTGGCAGCCATTTGATCTGGGTACATTACCGGGCATCGCTTGGCAGCCAGATTGATCGGAGCACAGTACCGTGCATCGAGTGGCGGCCAGTTTGATCAGAGCACAGTACCGTGCATCGCGTGGCAGCCAGTTTGATCGGAGCACAGTACCATACATCGGGTGGCAGCCAGTTTGATCGGAGCACAGTACCGTGCATCGCGTAGCAGCCAGTTTGATCGGAGCACAGTACCATACATCGGGTGGCAGCCAGTTCGATCGGAGCGCAGTACCACACATCGGGTGGCAGTCAGTTTGATCGGAGCACAGTACCGTGCATCGGATGGCAGGATGCGGCAGCTTGGCTCGCGGATGATTCAGGTTTCTTGTTATCGGCAGAGTGCGCAAGGGTTCGGATTTTTTAGCGTCCACACGCCGAAGTTTTTATTTTGACTCTTGCTTAGCTGTATTCGTCCGTGGTCATGAGTCCTGTTGGCATGCTATGCTACTTCCATGATATGGTATTGCCGTAACATGTTTCAATGGAAACTTGACATCTGCTTTAACCAGCACTTACTGGCATATTGTAGCTTTTTTGTTTCCAATATATGGGCTCAAAATGTCGAAAAACAACGAAAGTTTTAGTTATCTTACTTACATTAAGCATTGCCTTTCTTCGTATGCCATCTTACGGTAAAGCTTTCAGCTCGATGCCGGATATTTGTCTCGGCCGTGATCAGTATTCCACCCCACGACCCGGCTGTGGGCTGGTGAAGGCCTCGGATGCGCCCTTGTGCCCGTCGCTTCCGCCGCGCATTCCCGTACTTTGACTCAATCCGCACAGGCGTGGCGTGCAGGTCGCGCCTGTGATTCCGATGCTGTATCGATTTAGCGCGGTCTCCGGCGGCGCGTGGCGTCGCTTTGTTGTCGGCATCGCACTGTAATGCTAATGCGCACCGTCTCGGTTTGGGCTGCGATGGACCGTGGCGGCCACGCCCCATTGCAGTTCCGACCGAACTGGTCACGGGCGCCCGGCATCGCCGGCGGTCGCGTCGCGTCAGGGCGCGAGCTCCCGGCAGCGGGTTCGTCTCGTCTGTTATGGAGTGTGGTCGGAGGAACGCGCATCGCGGGCGGTCCGTGAGGTGGGCCGCGCGACTGCAGTGTGCCACGCGGCAGACGTGGGGTTGGAGACATTCCCTGCATCATCCCGGCGTTGTACTGCTTAGGAGGCCGTGTTTCAAACGCGGCCTCGCATAAACGAACCGTGGGACTTACCAGTCGCAGCGTTGCGGTACAAATGGCTCCGGCGCTGAGATGACACCGCCAGTGTCACTGGCGTGACGTAGCGCGGGTGTGTGTTTCGCTGCCGTCCCGTCCCCGGTATACTGCGTCCGCAGTCATGCCTCCTACACGATCATAAGACATGACTTTTTGTGCGGGGCTGACAGACCACTGTAATTCGTTACAGCGAGCGTTGCGTCACTGTCCCCCCCCCCCCCCCCCCCGGCTCATCATCTCCCTGTCCGCTCGGGCCTCGGCGGTCTCCCCGAGCACGTTCATCACCTTAGCTATTCTTCATAGGCTCGTTGGCCGCATCGCCATCTCTCACAGATCTTGCAATTCCACTGCCCCCCCCCCCCCCCCTCCCCCTCCCCCGGCCCCTCCCTGCCCCGCCCGGCGCCCATCTCCTAGTCTGCCCGGCGCTCCCGCAGGCTATCCTAGGGCTGCCGGACCAGACCCCCTCCCCCCCCCCGTCTCCCGGGGGAGGGGGCGGCGGCCGTCTCATGACGCCGCGTAATGAAATACACGATCAGCAAGCGTAATGCGCGCCGGCCTGGTCTGATCTGTCGGCCGCCGCCGGCGTACACAGCCCCGCCCGGCCGTCGGCCCCAGCCGGAGGCGCAATCTGGGCCAGCCATCGGACGACCTCCCGGGGGCCACCTCCCGAGCACGGTCTGCTCGGGGAACAGGCCATCTGGGGAGGGCTGGGGGTACATTATGCGCGGAGTGAGAGGTGTATGTCATTCGAGTGGGCTGCGCGGTGGGGGTAGAAGTGGGTCGTGCGCTAAACCATTTCGCGAAGTATTCCGATGACGCTGTGAACTGTACGTAAGCCTCTCGCTTCGAGGAAAAGACGCCGGGAAAGTTTCGCTCAGTGTCACGCAAGCCACGGCGGGCGCGAGGCGCCATGCGCGTGAGTTTGGCACATCGAAGACCGCCGCAGGCGCGGCAGATTTGTGGGCGCCGCTGCAGGGCGCTCGCTCCCCGCAGGCGGCTGGCCGACCACCCGGTCCGCCTTTACAGTGTGACCTTGTCTCGTCCGCAGGCTGACCTGAGACGACACCTGGAGGAGGTGACCCGGGAGCTGGAGGAGCTGACCTGGGCGCAGGTCAGGTCGCACCTGCTGGCGCATGGCTCGCCCCCGGCCGAGGCAGAGAGCCGCTGCGCGCAGATC